GTGTGTGTGTGTGTGCGCGCGCATAGAGAGGAAGGAAGGCTGCCAACTCCCGAGATAAAAATGAAGCCGGTTCAGAGGACTCATCACGACCTGACCACCCCTGCTGCTGGTATGCAGACATCTTTCCTTCACATTAGATAGATAAATTTCATATTTAATAAGTAAATAGATGCAGTGTAACCTGTAACATTAAGCTGGTTCGAGTCGAGTTCGAATTCTGTGACCTAATCACATTTAATCCGGCATCAACTGCATGCAGGTTAAAAAGGTTTTTTACCAGATCTTAAACCCACTGGCTCCTATCTGAGCTTTTTATTTGCTTTTTAAGTGTTTGAGGTCCAAGTCGTCAGGAATCCAACACCAACCCTACCAGTTGTAGAAAAGCAGAGTGGTCATGTTTTGTCTCCCGATTGCCAAGACCTGGGAGAAGAATATTAACTAAACTGAAATTACACATTCTGAATGGATTGAAGTTCATCGGAATCCATGAGGAAAGACCAACACGTAAAAAAAACTCTGATATCTGTCAGCTGTAATTCTCATTCTTTTATCCCAAAGACTTATGCATATTCCCATTACTTACTTTGACATTTATCTTTTGTTCTACTGATGGATTTTATTATTAAACATGACCAATGTTTCAGGTAATGAAGTCAAGTAGTCAGTGTGAGCCAGAAGCTCAGTTTATCACAGTTTTTTTTTTTTTTGCTTTTAGGGCTGTGTGATGTCAAAGAGCCTATATACGAAGGGCTTACCAATCAGAAGAGTGTGTTAAAGGGAGAGGAGTTAAAACAGAATTTGTCAGACAGAGAATGAACTGAGGGTCCGCACTAAGGCCCTGTGTAAGATAAAGAAGGATTATTGTGATCTGTGAATCATGCAAAGCCACGCTGGTAGAGTCATAAATAAATTGGTGTAAATGAGCAGATGTTACTGCCAGCACATAAATACATTAATGCCTGTGATTGTCCTGCAGGAGGCGCTATATTGGTTGGGAAACTGAGGAGCACTGATGGCTCTTCTCCACTCAAACATCAGGTAGTGATGAAAGTATAGATCATCTGAACTTAAATGATATCGGCTTGTGACACTGATGTGATTCTTTCTGTGTTCAGAGATGTGGGTCGGCTGTTTCCATGGCAGCAGGGTCAGAAACACCAGCCAAACGTAAGGAAGCGTGGTCAGACAATATCGCTGTCTCCTATAGCCCAGCCCATGACCACAAATCAGCCTCCAGCCCTTCGTTTAGACCAATCAGGATGAAGCAAACACTTTCACCTGCTGCAGCGCCACCGCCTCTTGTCCCGGCCCCGCTGCATGGTTTCCAGGGCACCCTGAGACACCCGGACTTTCAGCACAACGGTGAGCATCAGAACTGGAATTAAGGCACTTGATTGGGCTGTGCAGTGGTGTGGAAAGACCTGGAGAAAGCCACCAGTTCTGTTACTGAGCAGTTAGAACAGATTTAAAGTACAAGCTCATCAGCAGGCAGGATTGCTCGAAATAAGGTGTCATTTTATATAAACTGCCTCTAAGTTTTGATTGGTCACTCAGTCTATTAGTATTCCTGCAGCCTATCAGGATCAAGTTGTGTTAAAGGGTTGGAAGTGGCCTCCAAAACCGTGTTAGGATTAGAGATCATCGTCTTCTTCAGACCTCTTGCCATGTTCTTATCCCCTCAGCAAGCGGATGAGACCTCAGACCTTCATACATACGATTCATAAACTGTTCATAGTTCAGTGAGGAGTGATCATTTGGAAGAGTTCAACTTGATTTATTGCACAACAGAATTTAGTAATAAACTCTCCAGTGGTTAGACCAGGGTGAAGAAGAGATGGGGAGGGAGGTCTCAGTCTGACAGGCAGACTGATAGAAGAGTGCTGAGATTGAAAGCATGAAGGCTCATTGGCTCACAGAATGTGAGGGAGACAATGATTAGACTAAACCAATGATGTCACCATTAAGTTTGGCAGTATGGGAAAAAGAGGAATAGACTAGCAGCTGAATAGCCAAGTGAGCAGGGAGGTGAGGGATTACAGGTCTTCCTTCATGAAATTACACATAAGGTTAATCATTAGAGACTGTAAATTAAAGATGGAGTCTCCACTTTGGAGATTTAAATGTAGAATTCTGGCTACCACGTTGTTGTTCTCTGTAGCTGCAAGTGACTGTGTTTGAGCAACAGGTTGGAGTGCTAAGCCAATAATTAATGCTGGCTAGTTAGCATAGACTTACTCATCAAAACTGGAGCTCCGAGTTCTTGGACGATCTTTTGGCACAGTTACAATACAGCAGTGATATTATTGGTCAGATAATTGTATTAAAAATAATACAAAAAACATCAACAGCACAAACATGGTCTAGAGGTAGAGTTCAGTGACTCCAGTTAGATGAGGTGAAGTCTAGCAGACAGCTAGCACCTTTCAATCAATAAAATACATGCCAGTCAAAGAGGCCAATATAATAGTAATAATAATAATAATATAATTAAAAAAAAATATATATATATATATATAATAATACAGACTGTAGGCCTTCAATTCAACTGGGCTAAGCTAAATAAAGGTTCAGCTCCTGTGGATCTGTTATGAAAGAAGACAATAGTTACAGAGATAAAACAGTGTTTGTATCAGGCTGTGAACATGTTTATTTCTGCTGTAAACAGATTTTTATCATGTGAGCCTGTGTTGACTGACTGACTGCTGGAGCCTCAAGAGGAGTTGGAGGAACTACATGCTTTGGCAGTTTTTGAGTAAACATGAAAAGTGTTACATTTAATGTGGAGAGCGTGGTGTAACACTGGCACACTTTTATGAATTACTCCTCAGTCCTGATTATACAAGCAGCTCCTCCTGCTGCAGACAGGTGGATGGCCTGGCCTTCCCCTCCGCTCCTCACTTCCTTCTCATTTTCTTTTCAGATTTCATTTTTCTCAACAGCTCGGATTTCATATTGAGACCTGAACACAGGGAAAGATAGTGTACCACAGGAGGCAATCTGTGCGTGTGTGTGTGTGTGTGTGTGTGTGTGTGTGTGTGTGTGTGTGTGTCTTTGCCAGCGACTGATCAATGAATCTGGTTGTTGTGCATGTTCTTAGGTGAGCTGGGGTTGAGGTTCAGGGAGCGTCCGTGTCCGGGCGGAGGCTGTGGCTCAGACGAAGGTGAACCAAATGTCTTTTAAGATAAACTCCTTCTAATTAAAATGACAATTATTTGACTTTTTTTTTCTTTTTGCATCTGTTACCCAGACGACAGGGTCTCTGTGCTGTCATGGCGCTCTGGAGCCTCCTGCTCCATGGCGTCTGCCGTTCTGGAGCGCGCTCAGAAGAGACGGGAGGACTTCTGGGGGAAGAGATGACCCAGCATGTTTTTTAATGTAGTCAGGATGAGGTTTTTATAGATTAATTTAAATAAGAGCGATAATCGTGTGTTTTATTGATTTTACTGTAATCCTTTGACCTTTGAGAGAAATACAAATGAAAATGATAATACACTGACTCAATTTTGTTTCCTTTTACTCGACTTTCCTTAAAACTCCAGGACTTTAAAACCTTTGAAAAAATGTAGACATGTTGGTGTGAAACAGGCATGAATTCTTCCTCAGGTTTTGAGGGAATGAGGTCAGACCGGTCAGTCGGACAAAAGTTTCCACCAAAGTCGTGACAGTGACACACTTTGAAGGGACACACAGCGACAGCTTATTTTAGTTCCTTATGAACACAACCGTACATAGATTCAATATAATTGAGTTCAATTTTATTTACATAGCGCCAAATCACAAACAAAAGTTGTGCTTTTTATTTTAAGGTAAAAACCTACAATAACACAGAGAATTTTATTTTTTTGTTTCATGTTTTGTTACTAATAATAAAGCTAAAAACATGAAGTTTCTTTTGAGGTTGGCATGAAAAAGGTTCCTATGAATCAATCATGTTGCTTTGTTTCCTACAGGTCAAATGTCTGATTTTGTATTAGTCACTTTCATTAAACCAGGAAAGAACAGAAAAATTCCTGAAAACCTTTTTTTTTCCACACCTAGTGTCTCTTCTTTAATGGTCTGTTCCTCTGTAAGCATTGAGGTGATGTCACCCTGGGAGGAAAAGCAAATATTTAAATCACTTCCTTCAGTCAGAGAGGATACAATACCGAGCAGCTTGCTTTGTACAAACACAATGGATATACCAAAACATCAAACAAGCGAATAGCAGCTACTGAATTCCCCTCATAACAATGTACAGCACAGAGCAAACAATGTAAAGCTGAAGGAGCGTGTGGGCGTTAGCTCTCCTGCGATGTCATCATACTTTGTGAAAGTCCTGCACAGAGGAAAAATAACCTGCATGGTGGGTAATTTTTCCTCTAGATCAGATTAGAGCATTTTTCCCTTTTTACTCATTGGGTCACTGGGTAAGATTTAAATAAAAAGTGATCCAATAAAAAAACCAAAAAAAACCACAATATATATTTTCCAGCCACTTTATTAGGTGAACCTAAAAAAGCTTAATTGTCTCATTTAGGCATGTAGAGATGAGTTCAAACTGAGCATTGGCATGAGGAAGAAAGTGGCTTGGTTGGTGGTGTCATACGCACAGGTCTCAGTGATCTGCTGGGATTTTCCTACATGACCATCTGTAGTGCTTACAGAGTAAGGCCTGAAAAAGGGAAAAATATCAGCAGCAGTTCCCTGGGAGAAAATGCCTTGCTGATGTCAGAGGTCATTAGAGAAGCAGCAGCAGAAGACCACATCCGTTGGCAAAGATCACCCTGCAGGGCTCCCTTGTCACTGACAAATCATTACCGTAGGAGCATGCCGTCTCTCATGGCTTTTGGTTGCTTAACCTCTAATTTGTGAAGTTCCAAACATGGAACTTGAAATTAGATTTGATGTCATGGCGTCTGCATCCATCAGTGTGTGAAAAGTTACGTTGCGACACTGAGACGTGTGGCATGAACAGCATGAAAGGGTGGGTACATCCTGCTGTATATACAGGGAGTGCAGAATTATTAGGCAAATGAGTATTTTGTCCACATCATCCTCTTCATGCATGTTGTCTTACTCCAAGCTGTATAGGCTCGAAAGCCTACTACCAATTAAGCATATTAGGTGATGTGCATCTCTGTAATGAGAAGGGGTGTGGTCTAATGACATCAACACCCTATATCAGGTGTGCATAATTATTAGGCAACGTCCTTTCCTTTGGCAAAATGGGTCAAAAGAAGGACTTGACAGGCTCAGAAAAGTCAAAAATAGTGAGATATCTTGCAGAGGGATGCAGCAGTCTCAAAATTGCAAAGCTTCTGAAGCGTGATCATCGAACAATCAAGCGTTTCATTCAAAATAGTCAACAGGGTCGCAAGAAGCGTGTGGAAAAACCAAGGCGCAAAATAACTGCCCATGAACTGAGAAAAGTCAAGCGTGCAGCTGCCAAGATGCCACTTGCCACCAGTTTGGCCATATTTCAGAGCTGCAACATCACTGGAGTGCCCAAAAGCACAAGGTGTGCAATACTCAGAGACATGGCCAAGGTAAGAAAGGCTGAAAGACGACCACCACTGAACAAGACACACAAGCTGAAACGTCAAGACTGGGCCAAGAAATATCTCAAGACTGGTTTTTCTAAGGTTTTATGGACTGATGAAATGAGAGTGAGTCTTGATGGGCCAGATGGATGGGCCCGTGGCTGGATTGGTAAAGGGCAGAGAGCTCCAGTCCGACTCAGACGCCAGCAAGGTGGAGGTGGAGTACTGGTTTGGGCTGGTATCATCAAAGATGAGCTTGTGGGGCCTTTTCGGGTTGAGGATGGAGTCAAGCTCAACTCCCAGTCCTACTGCCAGTTTCTGGAAGACACCTTCTTCAAGCAGTGGTACAGGAAGAAGTCTGCATCCTTCAAGAAAAACATGATTTTCATGCAGGACAATGCTCCATCACACGCGTCCAAGTACTCCACAGCGTGGCTGGCAAGAAAGGGTATAAAAGAAGAAAAACTAATGACATGGCCTCCTTGTTCACCTGATCTGAACCCCATTGAGAACCTGTGGTCCATCATCAAATGTGAGATTTACAAGGAGGGAAAACAGTACACCTCTCTGAACAGTGTCTGGGAGGCTGTGGTTGCTGCTGCACGCAATGTTGATGGTGAACAGATCAAAACACTGACAGAATCCATGGATGGCAGGCTTTTGAGTGTCCTTGCAAAGAAAGGTGGCTATATTGGTCGCTGATTTGTTTTGTTTTGTTTTTGAATGTCAGAAATGTATATTTGTGAATGTGGAGATGTTATATTGGTTTCACTGGTAAAAATAAATAATTGAAATGGGTATATATTTGTTTTTTGTTAAGTTGCCTAATAATTATGCACAGTAATAGTCACCTGCACACACAGATATCCCCCTAAAATAGCTAAAACTAAAAACAAACTAAAAACTACTTCCAAAAACATTCAGCTTTGATATTAATGAGTTTTTTGGGTTCATTGAGAACATGGTTGTTGTTCAATAATAAAATTATTCCTCAAAAATACAACTTGCCTAATAATTCTGCACTCCCTGTAGGTCCATTCCTTTAAGAACAAAATACATCTTTTCTGTGCTATAAATTGCTTGATACGATATGAATTGATATGAGTAGTTAGGAAAGCTTTTTTTTCAAATGATGACAAACAGCAAATGCAGATTTTTAGAATAAATGCAGCTTCTGGAGCAGCTTCCTTGGTTATTTTTAAATGCATAGAAAAATCCTGTTTGGATCCTTGGACTTGTATCAAAACTCCCAGCAGTTCTGCTGAGATGTCATTCACTTCGAACGCGATTGTGTTTGCAGTTTTGCAAAAAACAGAAACCTTTTTGCAACAGGTCAAAATTGTTATGCAAGGCTGATGCAGTGCCTCATCTGATGCACAGCTCCTCTATTTCACAACAAACTCAGCAGCTATCAGAGGGAAATGCTGAAGGTAAAAACAGAAAAATATTACTTTTGTTACTGTTATAAAAGTCTTAAATTGTCAACAGATGACTGATACACTCAGCACCTTTGTGTTAGCTGCAAGTCTTAATACCATCATCGGTTTTGGAGGCATTCTCACACCCACGGCCAACAAAATAAAAGAAACCAGATAAAGGAGCAGGCCACTTGATCCCTCATGTCAAAGACGGAAAATATAACATCCCAGAATTCAGTAAGCGCTGAGGGGAACTGGGTGTTGGCATCTATCAGATGACCCAAGGTCATTATTCAACCACTGGAAGAAGGCATGATTACAATATCCTTGATCTGGAGCTAGATTGTGGAGCAGTGTCTCACTGATACAGAGACACAGCCAATGTTAATGGTCCAGTGTGTCATGGAGTCCCCCAGGGATAGACTCAGGGGCCCTTTTTATTCTCTCCGATTTACTTGTTTATTTATAAGCTTCCCTTGGGGATATCGTTTGCAAACATGGATGTGCAGGTAATATTCTCTTTCACACCCTGAGAAAGGATGTTGTTAATCTGTTGCATAATAATGGTCTAAAGCATGCTGTCATCAAATTTCCACCAAATGTAGCACAAAACGTGACCTACTTTTCAAAGGAAATGTTTAAAATAAAAAAATGTTTATTGCCTACTTAAGCTGGTGGTGCAATTTCCATTCAGATACTTTTAGACAGTTACCAAAGTATATTAATTAGAAGAAGGCTAAATACTATTGCAGGACAAATAAAGTCAAGTTTTTAAACTAGTGTTTTTTCCCCCAGAGTTTCTTTATTTTTATTTCTTTAAATTGTCTCCATTCTGACCTTTTATATAAATTTTCAATTTGTGCAAAACAGGCAGAAGAAAAAGGTTTACTGCTGCTAAAACATATATAAAAGCTAAAACAGCTACAAAATCTTGTTAAAAAATAAATTAGCTAATACTAAAAAAATAGCTACAAATGCAGATTTTGTTAAAAACAAATAAATAAATAGTTACATTTAGATTATAGGGCATTGATAAACAGCTATTATTAAAAAAAAAAAGAAGCAAATTTTCATAGCAATAGATAACAAAAGTTAGATTTTTGCTCAAAACTCGAAATCCATTTTTGTTTTGTGTAAAAAGGAGCATATTTTAGCTTTGGCTTTGTCAGCTATGTCTAAAATATGCTAATATTCTTCAAAAAGATTAATATATTTCAGCTAGTTTATCAAGTTTTAGCCATGCTTTGCTATTTGGCTAGCTGTTATCAGTCTGTTTTAATGCAGACTAAAATGTATCTCATATGTTCCAGAGGATGAGCTCAAAAGATTCCCCACACTCACTTAACCCACGGTCTCTCCCAGAACCTTTAAATGGTGTCTGGACCCCAGGGAAACATTTGCCCAAACACCTTGGAGAGAACACAGGAAACACAGGTGAGTAATCACATCTTACAATCACTTCTTTGCGCCCCCTTTAATTCTAGACCTCCACACACACATCTCCATTAGTTCTCCTTACTGGTAAACCTTATTTTCTCTAAATCACAACCTTTTCACAGACAACCACCACAGTCCTTAATGAGGAGCAGCTGTACAGGACTTGAAACAAAGGCTACCAACTGATTTTAAAATACCCAAAAAATATTCAATAAATAGTTAAACTTCTTGTGTGGAAATGTTCTCCTGTGCAAATCCATGCTTAAAGTTCGATGCTAAACAAAGTGCTAGATAAGGTGCTTTTTAATCATGTTAAAGGTGCTCCTAAAGTGCTATACAGATTATAATGTAAATAGTAGTAGGGAGTCTTCTTCCTTACAAAATGGCTATTTTTTATATGCAGTTTGTGTTATATATATTAATAAACTCATTTGAATCTATTAGTGTAATATATTTTATTCCAGCAGTTTGAGTGCTCACAATTTTGTTGCAATAAAAGGCTATTCTATTCTAGTGGATGGAAAGATGCATTAATTTGTATTTTTTTCTTAATTTGTTAATTAAAATATACACAATTTTTCACCATGTATCACAGGTCTAATATCTGACGGTGCAGCCTGGGAGTGTTTAACCATGTCTTAAACATATACTGATACTCCTACAATATTAAGAGTTATGTGAGCTGAAGTCAAAGATTTTCTATACACTACACATTTTCCTTAAATGTAATTTTAGGTGCAAATATATATATTTTTTTTTTATCAAGGACTGAAACCATGTTACCATTTATGATGAAAAGTCATGCTTTAAATGTGTGTAATATCTGTAGAAGCTGGTCTATTTGAAGTGAATGTTGAATGACGAATTCTATAAATGAGTTTTTGTTTATGGCGGCCCATCCGGCTGAAGAAGATGCTGCAAGTTTAAAGCATAAACTTAGAAAAATGTCCATGTTGTTAATGAAAAGCTAGGATGATGCTGTCACAGAGTGTGAGAGGCTGCGTTTGCTCTGTCCTGGAGTTCTTATGCCTGTTGCATCTTAATGCATACATTAGAAAACAAAGCCT